AAAATATCTCTTTGGTGATTCCAAAATACACCCAATATTCTTTCGGTTGACATTTCATCATTATTATTTTCAATATTTTTACAACACTCAGCTAATAAGTGTTCATCAATGTCTTCTAGAATTCCTGTTTTATTAGCGATCCAATTGCATATGACAAACCCTCCCTGACTATGAAGAAAAATTACCTCTTTTATGAGTTTTTTGGCTTCCTCTTCAGTGTCTGCATTACCCAAGTAATCGTCCATGTAGTGGTTCTTTATGATCTCGTCGCTTGCCTCGGGGAATTCTTCTGCGAAATCGCGTGCGTTCCTGTTTTTTGCTTCCTGAGCTAAGCAAGGACTACAGGTTGCTCCAAAAAATACTACAGAGAGTTCATAAATGTCTGGTTCCACATTTCTTTCCATACCCATAATAATCGCTGAGCACAGCAATCTTCTTTCCGTACTCTGATCTGTAAGAACATTTCTTTGATGTCGGCTGTGAATGCATATCGTTTAATTCTGAAATTTAATAGTATTGTTTGGAGAGAATTATAAAGATCAGGACCAGTTAATAAATAGTCGTTTAAACTGACTCCATTACTTTTAGCAGCGGCATCAAAAACAATTCGTAGTTTTGGCTTATTAGGGTTTTGTACCCCAAAATGTGGCAAATACCAGGATTTATCTGAATTTATTACCTCTTCTGCAGCGAGTTTCCTGATATATCCTTTTTGTTCTAGATCCAGAAATTTCTTACAATACATGTCACTATAGTCTTTGTTTCTATCCATTTTCCTCTCAGTACATTGAAGTCTCTTTAGGGCATTTGATTTACTCTCGGGAAGTACCGGATGATTATTCTTCCAGAGTAGACCGGTTTCGAATCTCTCGCCAACCCTCTTCATTGTCGTGTCCAAAATGTCTTGAGCTCTTTTATCTTCAATAGACATTACCTTATCTGTCGTTGAATGAATGGATTCCATTTTCCATTGTTCCTTAACCAAATCATGAAGAAGGTCTAAGTCATCTTTAATTTTCATGTTAATGTGTCGGATATTACAAACAAATTGCGGAGTGTACTCACTTTCTTCAATATTTCCATGTAGTACCCATCCCAATAGTGTCTTACTCATTGCAGGTCCATTCCATGGTCCAGTTATCAATTTCCTATTCACCAGGAGAGGCCAGTTGTCTTGTCCTATTATTATCTTTGGCTGGACATCCTTCATAGATGCTATCTTATCACAGATGTAAGGATAACGACTCCTTATCTTATCTACATCTATTGTTTGCGAGGGCAAAGATAATTGTGTAGTTCTAACGTGCCGTAACTGAAAACTAGGACCATTATTTATTCCTTTGATTGTGAAACTAACTATTCTTGAATCGTTTTGATGATGCACCACGTCTTCATTCGTCCACTGGAGACATAATGATTCAGAAGGACCAGACAATCCTAAGGAATCTGCGAATTCTTGGTCAATCAAACTGATTGTAGATGCATCGTCCAACAATACATAGGTTTCAACTGTTTCATTACAATAACTGATTATAACTGGCAATATTTTTAGTAAAACACTCGAATATCCAGAAATACGACAATTTGTTTCAACGACAGCAGGCGATTGTTCAATATCATTGGTAGAAGTAACATTGTTCGAATGTTCAGTTTTGTGTAAAAGGGTATGATGTGGTCTTCTACAATCTTGAATTCCACATATCTTTCTTTTTCTACATTGCTTTACATTATGAAATGGCATCAAACACGAGAAACACATTTTTGTCTTTGTCATAAATGTCCATCTTTCATCTGGGGTCATTTCTAAGAATCTAGAACAAGAACTCAGATGATGAATCTCCCTGTTGCAGCAGAAACAATTTTTTCTGGTACTCAAAGTAGTTGTCATAGTTACGTCTCTATTTTTATATTTTACTTTCTGGTTGTCAATTCTGATGTCATCTATTTTGGGAATTTGAATTTGTGACATGAGATTAGCTTTTTCGTCAAGCCAATTTGTGAATTCAACCAACTTCAGGTTTGGCTTTGGCATTTTCGACAAATGTTCTGCCCAAGAGAGCTTGTAACATGTTGGTAATTTATTTAATACCTCATTCAGAAGAATGGGATTCTGCAAATGATCTGTTTCCTGAAGTGATTCAATTGTGGCAACAAAATTTTTGATTTCATCAGAAAATTCTATGAAAATATCCAATTTGTCTTCCCTAATTGATGGAAACCTCTTGATTTTTTCTAATAACATAGAAATTATGTACTCCGAACGTCCGAATCGAGCATGAAGTAAGTCTATTATCTTTTGTACATTTTGTGGCATTATCAGTAGAGATTGTACAATTTTTCTAGCATTTCCTTTAAGGCATTTTTGTAATCTGAACTGATTTTCGGCATCTGAATATCCGCAAATAGCACTTGAATTATTATACTGATATATAAAATTAGGCCATTCAAGTGGGTTTCCATCAAATGTAGGTAAATCTTTGGGCAAAGATTGCCTTGTCAAGATTTTTGTTATTTGAGGGATAGTCATTTCACCTGAATTATTGTCATTATTGAAAATAGAAGATTTCTCTGGCTTATTATTGACAACAATATCTCTTACCGTTTCGTGTTCTTTAACTGAATTTAACTGTCTGACCTCGCATGCTTTTGTGTCCTGCCTGAAATCCCATGGAGAGTTACCGTCGATCCAATTTTCCATGTTAGGCTGCCTTGACTCATGCATCCACTCAGACCCACTGCTTTCGCTTCCTTCTTCTATTTCCGCCAATTTTAGAGCCAATTCTAAATCCAACATTTCTTTTTCCTTCTTCAATTCCTCTTGTTCTAGCTGCTTCTTCTTGATAGCAGTCTCTATCTCTGCTCTTCTCACTCTTGAAGCTTGACTACTTTTCGACGTTTTCTGACTTTTTCTCGAGTTAATAGAATATGTTGGGTTTTCAACTGCTCGACTGTCTATTTTGCTCTCTGACATGACATCAAGAGCATTCTTTTCTTGCAGGCGTTTGCTGCGTCTCAAATTTTCAGATCTAGCTCTCAATTCCATGATTACTTCTCCAAAGTGCCTGTTCTCTTAAATAACTCGAAGGACCATTGATGAAGTTTACCTGTAATCGTCCTAATTAATATCCGGCTCGAAGGACCATTGATGAAGTTTACCTGTAATCGTCCTAATTAATATTCGGCTCTGAAGAACAAATTACTTATTTTCTTTATTTTTTAATAATTGTCTGTCTGACAGTCTTATTTATTATTATATTTTTTTTTTTTTATACAGTCACTTGATGTAGTCAGATTTTTCAAAATATACAGTATGTACAAATCAATTATTAATTATTTGAAACTAAATACAACATTCCCTCTAAGTCCCATTGTTTCTAAGTTTTCTAAAAGTGTTGTATGATATACTGTGTCAAAAGCCTTTTTGAGATCAATGAAAACAGCTACCACATAATTTCCTGAATCAAGTCTTCTCTGGATTGATTCTATGTAATACTGCTGCTTGTGTTCCACTGTTTTTTTGAAAACCAAATTGATTAGAATCAAAGCTATATTTTTTGTTGATGAATTCTACAATGCGTTTCTTGAGAATTTTTTCAAGCATTTTAGAAAATATGCTTATTAAAGCTATTGGTCTATAGTAAGTTGGATCCTGAGCATTTCCATTTTTGTAAATAGCTCTTACTGATGCATGTTTCAATTCGTGTGGGAAACTTTCTTTTATGAAAGATTCATTGATCAATTTTGATATTGGTGCAGCTAAAATGTGTCTCAATTCAAATATGTCTTTAGTAATCAAACATTCTGGATCAGGGCATGTCTTTTTTAAATCATGGATTATAGAAATGATTTCGCTTTCATCAGTGGGAAACAGAAGCATTGCGGAATCATTATATTGTGGATAGTTTATCGTATCCCAAAGTTTTCTTTGATTACCTTCAGAATTTTCAAATTTTCTATTGATATGTTGAGCTTTCGCTCTTTTTATCAGAGCATTAACTTCATTCCTCTGTATTTTGTCATCAAAAAGTTCTTGATTACCATTGAAGTTTGGATTTTCTTGAATGTTTCAATTTTCCTGATGTTGATCTGAAATTCCGTAGGTACACTGAGGGGATTAGTTTCCATGAGAAACTTATCACATCATTCCGATCAACATAAAGAGTATTTTGATGAAGATGTCGATAATACGTTTTCAATGCATGCATGCCATTGTTCAGATTTTAGTACATGCTCCAATTATACCATTTATCACAATTTTTTCCAAAAATTACCGTATTTCACCCATTTATCAACTTCTTTCTCCGATTTTTTACCTCATTTCTGGTCCAATTGAGTGATATTCCACTTAGTTCAATCACTCTGAGGTGATCTGAATTCTAATCACCTAATGCCATTTTTATTATTATAAAGTAGATGACGAATACAATTTTCGTGCAAATCTATGGAGGGGTAGGTATTCAGTTTTATAGGGAGAATACCTTGTTCACGACCTTGTTGAAACTTGACGGAGAAACTAATTTTGTTTACTTGCTTGGTAACCATGTATTATTCAGAAAATTTGGCACAATGTCAGTCAAATAACAGACTGGATGTTCCCATTATGACAGCTATACCGGGAATTCATAACAAAGATGAATGTTCAAAAACTTAATCATATATGAAGCGTGCTGAGAACAATGTTTATATCAACTCTTTTCCGTGAACTGTTTTTATCACCCATGATTTTTCGAAAATTTTCAATGGTTCAAGTGATAAACTCTCCACTGGTCTAGGTAAACACTGAATAATGATTTATAAATAATCCAAATGGCCATACTTTCAATCTCATAGTGCTTACTTATAGGCCTGTTCGTTTGTGCTTGCTCAACAGGCTAAACTTGACTTTCTTTGTTTACATCATGGCATGAGCAGAGACAACTATGGGAAAAATATCAACTTTAGCCAGTTTAGCAATACAAACGAACAGGCCTTATATTTTTCTTACATTTGATTATTTCCAGGCGACAGAAGAGGAACATTCCTTTCATCATAGAAGCATGTATCCGAGAAGTAGAAAAACGTGGTATGTCGGAAGTTGGGATATATAGGGTATCTGGATCTGCTCTTGATATACACAAATTAAAGAAGTCTTTTGAAACGAGTAAGTGAATATACTTATTTGGCTCTAAAATTATTTGAAATTTAGATTCAGTGAATATAGTTGTTGAAACTGTTCTCTCAGAATGTGTTATTAAATATTTTGAAAGTCATGAATGTGAATACTTGAAATTCAAATCAAATTGAAAAACTGATGATTATGAAAGATGTTTGAATTGTTGTCTATACATGTTAGCTCTATCTTCAGTTGCATATTGTTCACAAGAGTTTATTTCGGATTATTTTTGTTATACTCTGTGATTCTGTTGAGTATCGGCTATAGTTATCAATGGCTAGCCAAGTAAAACTGACTATGACCTTAGGGTAAATTTCTAGTCAATCCGTTTATCGTTCTCCTAGTCTACTGAAACTAACAGCAGACTCATCTGCTAATTCAGCTATGAGATGAAAGTAAAAGTTTAGAGGTTAACTCATAGTTTATTTCTTACACTGACCCTATGTATTTCATCAGTATACATTGTTATTGTTAAGCAATCAAATTTGGGTTTTTGATAGATCACCATAGCAACGTATGTATTCTAGTAAACATTTCACACCTAACATTTTCGACCAATTGGAACCCTGTATTTTGTATCGTTACCTCCAAGTGTTTAAAAATAATTCCATACCTACCTCCTCTCCGTGTCCTCCCTAGGTATGTTTCACGAACATTATAGGAATTTCCTTTCGTGTGCTCCAAGAGATAAAAAAATAGCAACTAAAGAAATTCCCGGAAAATAATTCTTTCTCCTTGGAGGAAGGAGCATGAAATTACACTGGACATTTTTTGACGTTTATAGGTCAAATGACATTGACATTCAACTTCAGATTATGTCGAATTAATTCCATAGGTCCATAAGTTCCTTGCAAAAAAATATATCCACAAACTTTTGCTAAATCAATTTGTGAGAACTGAAAGAGCTATTATCGACTTATTTTTCATCATTTCATTAAGCTGAAGTCGGTTAATTATATTTCATTTAACCGAATAATATTACTTGAGCAAATTTCATTGATACTAAATAGTACTTCCGAGTTTCTTCTGAGAAAATATATTTTCTTCCAACTTTAGTGAAACGAATTTGTAAAAAACTGAAAAATCAAGTTACTATCGAGTTATTTTTAATTTAAGTTAATTGTGTCTTATTTCCTATAACGATGTTATGAATTAAATTTCATTAATACTACATACTCCTTCGAGTGTTCCTTGTCACTAAATATGTTTCCACCAACTTAAGTGGAATACAGTTACTCAAGAATAATGGGTTTAACTTTCACCAGCTGCCTTATGGATATTTTGCTGAACTAAAGTCGGAATTTTGTATTTTATTCAGCGTATCTCGACTAGTTTCTTTCACTAGCATTTCGGTGTGTAATTTTCTTACCAAATACAACTCTAGCTTCAATTGAATCCAATTCTCGGACATGAATATTTAGATAGTTTTTCCTCGTCTTCGACTCAATTTTCAAAATATTCGTGTTCCAAAAAATTTCCGGTAGTAATTGAAGCTCTTGTGGAATTATCAATGGAAAGTTCCACACCTAACATTTTCGCCAATTTAAAGCCTGTATTTTGTGTCATAACCATAGCAACTGAACAAATTTCTGGAAATGTCCTCCTTCTAGGAGGAAGGAGCATTGAATTACACTGGACATTTTCCTACACTGCGGCGTAAATGTTCATTAACCTATATGAAAGCCAAATAAAAAAATGAATTCTAGAATTATTTTATTTTCATACACAATCTGGTGTGAATTTTCTTACCGAATACCACACAAAGTTGAATTTTTTCCGGAAAAATTTTCCGAACACATCAATATTTTGAAAATTCAAAATATTGAAAATAGTTTCTTGAGCTTCATTCAGTGCAACTGTCCTATTTTGCATTTTAAAGGTGTTTCCTCTTATTGTTGATAACATTTTTTGAAACTATTCACTATTTCTCCATTCGATTTTGGTGAAGTCAGCTACTTTTTTCATATTATTGTGGTTTATCTATCTCGTGACTCTTTTTGACAATAAAGATAATATATACGTCGAGGCAAGTAGACCACCGACATAACTACTATATCAGTGAAGTAGACACCTATATTAGAGGTTACCTCTGAGAGAATGGGCTTATATCACAAAAAAAAAATATTTCATAATTCGATAGAACTCACCCAAACTAGCTCACCACCGCAAACCGTTTCTTGCTGTGAGCTCTCTACGTTTTATAAAAAATTATTGAAATCCCCGATTTTTCGGACCTCTGAAAACGAGGCGATGATGTGACGTCAAAACCCTAATACTGAAACAAGACTATTCCAGACAGAGATGAATGATACATGATTTCTGACAGAGTGAATCAGCGCGAAATCACAGTTGAAAGAATTAATATATCAGTTGCCTCAGTCTCCGTCGGGCGTTTGGTATTTTTTTTAACTATGGCGAGATGAGGTTTCTACGTCATAAGAGGGTCCGTTTTCAGAAGGTACTATTATTTATGTCCAAAAATAGAACATTCCAGTTAATTTTTCGATCGAATTATGTCGTCAATCATTATTTATGTATGGAAGGATCATTATAAACATGGTTTGAGTTAAAAGTTCTACTATGGTGTACACGCCCATTCTTCCACCAATCAAATCATGTCAATTGAAAATCACGGCCACCAACTTTCTCATAACTTGGAGTTACCCAGCTAAAATATTGATATGCAGTGAATAAACAGTAGGTGCCTTAACACTTTGACTATCACTCAATGTTAGCTGTCAGTCAGCTAGCATGCAGTTATAGCTCATTCATTCATTCAGAAGTATTAGGAAACATATTGATGAGCTACTGATTTTTTTGGAAACTTGTAAACTTACAGATATTGATGTCTTAATACTTGGTGAAACCAGGTGCATTGACTCTGTGGAGGACTTCACAATACCAGGATTCACAAATATTTTTAATGGAAGTAAGCTAAACCAGTGTGACGGAGTTCTCATGTTCGTGAATAGTAGCGTCACTTATGAAATTAAACACACAGTCTTACCTTTAACAAAGGTAACAATATCTAACATTTTAGTCACCTTAAACAATATATCATATAATATCATGCCTTGCTACAGAACACCATCGTCAGCTGATAGCCTGTTCTTAGAAGACGTAGAACATTTTTTATCGGAAACTCCCAGAACAAATTTTGACATCTTAATTGGCGACTTGGATATTGATATCCTTGACAATGGGTCAGTAGTGGCTAATAAATACATTTCTATACTCATGTATTTTGGCTTCACATCACTTATCAACACCCACACAAGAGTAACACCAGAAAGCCAAAGTTGTTTAGATCACATATTTGTACGCAAAAATCTCAATGCGAGAAAATACGAATTTAATCCTTTTGTAATCAACCACGATATAACGGAACACTATCCAATTTTCCTGAATATCAGTTACAATAAATCGCATAACAATAATCCCACCGAAAAACGTGCTGTGAAAATTGACTACATCAAATTCAGAGAATTACTGAGTAAGGCTCAATGGACTGAGGTTTACTCAAACCAAGATCCTGAAACCGCATGGAGTAACTTTTTCAATAAGTTTATTGACGCTCTTGAGCAATCAAAAACAACTATTTTATCCAGTGTGAAAGAACACAAAAAAATTAAGCCGTGGATTACAAATGCCATAATCAACTCAATAAAACGTAGGGATAAGATGAAAAAAAATGCAATAAAACATAAGCAATGTCCACAGTTATATAATGATTATAAAAATTATAGAAATCAACTAAATAAACTGATTGTACGAGCAAAATCAAATTACTACTCTGAACAAATTATCAATAACAGTAATAATATAAAAAAGTTATTCGAACTGATTAATGAGGCCACTAATAATAATAACAATCCTACATCGATCAATCATATAACTGTTGTAGATGAAAACAAAATACCCTTTTCTGATGATGAAGAGATGGCAAACTACTGCAATACTTATTACTGAAATATAGGAATTAAAATGGCTGAAAAAATTGATGCTCCAATCATTGATACTGAGATGACATTCCCTCAAATAAAACAATCTATGTTTCTATCGCCAGTCGACAGAAATGAAATAGTAATGCATATTAAATCCTTGAAAAATAACAGCTCTCCAGGTTTTGACAACATAAACAACAAACTATTGAAAGACAATCATTTACACGTAGTAGATCCTGTAATACACATTTTCAATCTGATTTATTCAGATGGAAAAGTTCCTGATCACTTCAAAAAGTCTATACAGTGCCAATATTCAAATCGGGTGATAAGAATAGTATAACTAACTTTAGGCCAATTAGCCTCATTAGTGCTTTTGCAAAAATATTTGAAAAATCCCTGAAGAAAAGGTTAAGTGAATTTCTACTAGATAAGAACATTCTAAATAAGAAGCAATATGGGTTCCAGGCAGGAACCAGCACCAGTGATGCCATGTTCGATTTGATAGATCAGATAAAAGATAATTTAGAATCTAACCAAAAATGTATTGGGGTATTTCTAGACCTTGCAAAAGCTTTTGACACGGTGCCCCATGAAAATCTTCTGGACGTTCTTGAACATTACGGAGTGAGGGGCGTCGCGTTAAATGTTTTTAAAAGTTACCTGACAAATAGATCTCAACATGTGAAAATTAGAAACCAAATCAGTGATCCAGTAGATGTTCTCATAGGTGTTCCACAAGGCACAGTACTTGGACCATTGCTTTTCATAACCTACATCAATTCATTACTCTCTTCCAATATAGATGGCACTCTAATATCGTATGCTGATGACACAGTCCTTCTATTCAAAGGTGATTCATGGAACCATGTCAAAATGAAAGCTGAACAAGGTACTCTGATAGTGAAAAGTTGGTTAGACCTTCAAAAGTTATCATTGAACATTGAAAAAACAACATACATTGCATTCTCCCTGAACAATGCAAATAGACCAGAATTCAATTCTCTGTATATTAGGAACACAAACTTGAAGATAAATGAATCAGAGGCGGCTAAATATCTGGGTATTACCATCGATAAAAATCTCAAATGGGTTAGACATGTCACAAATATGACTAATAGACTGAGAAGACTTATATATAAGTTCTATGTAATAAGGAAATTCATGACAAGGCATCTCTTGATAATGGTATATAAAGCTCTAGTAGAATCTATTTTAAGTTATGGAATCCTGGTATGGGGTGGTCTCTACAGCAATGCACTTAAACCGTTGAACGTTATACAAAATTACATACTTAAGATAATATATTTCAAAGATCGGCTGTACCCAACAGCTCTATTATACAATTGTAATGTTCTTAACGTCAGAATGCTGTATTTCCACAGCAATTGCATATTTGTATTCGAAAACAAAGACACTGAATTTTGTATCGCATTCTCGTAATACTCGACAAGTGTTTAACAATTATTTATCTGTCCCCTTTTTGTCAAAAAGACGCCACCATGAGATTTCCAAGAAGTGTAGCCCCTAGAATCTATAATTTACTGCCTATGGAAATCAGAAATGCACACAAATATGTATTTTCTAGAATGTGTAGAACTCATATATACAATAATTATCATGTATATACGGATAACCTTAACATCAGATAATCACTTATCCCAATAGTTTATTTTTTGAGTTACTATTAATGTTAATTATGTTTTTCAGCGCGTTTCTTCTTAAATTTCACATCAATCTTGCAGAAATATAATATAGGTCATAATTATTTAAAAACATATTACCTATTATTCTCAATGATTATTCTTCTTTAAGTTAGAATTACTTATGTATGTACATAGGAAAATTTTCAATAAATTATATCACCCTTGTATGCTATGCACATACAGGTGTCTACACCTAGGTGCATGATAATAAGTATGTAACCATGTAATTATATCAAAAATTATATTGTTCGATTATACCATGAAATTATTTATGAATGAAATAAATGAAATTCATGATTGATAAGCCGGCCCTATAAAAAATTCCAATAGGGAACGATGGGATATCTCACTCATTTTCAGAGATAGAGATTTGCGGTATTCGCGAACGTTGGCTACTTTTTTTGTGAAACTCACGATACCACAAACAAAATTTTCATAACCCACTTCGTTTTTCTGATACAGGACGAAATAGAAAATGTTGAATTTTGGGAACCCCCTGTATCTCAGCTATCTGTCAACTTATAGGAAAAGTAAAAACTGTCACTAAATTCAAGGCAATACTCCAAATATCGTATAAGTGATATATATTTTCGAAAAGCGCAAAGCATCGATAATTCAAATATGGAAAAATTTACAGGGTGTATTTAGAAAACACAACTTTGGGTTATATCTGAATTAAATACGACTACGCCACTGGATTCCACGTGAAAAACTGTATGGATGACACGTTCAACTTTTCTTATAAGTTGAACGATCTGAGATACAGGAGAGTCCCAAAATGCAACAGTTTCAATTTCGCCCTGTTTCTCAAAAACGAAGCGGGCTATGAAAAGTATGTTTGTGGTATGGTTAGTTTTACAAAAAAATAGCCAACGTTCGCTGAAACCGCAAATCTCCATCTCCGAAAATAAGTGAGATATCCCATAAGGACTTCGAAAATGGGACAACCTGTACATCTTCGATGATTTAGCCATCGTCGCACTTTTTCCCTGTTTTTGGGCTAGCAGAGACGTCAAATATTTGTCTATCCTTATTTTTTGATGTGTTCTTTCTTTCCAGATTCTTATGAAGCAGAGCAACTTTTGAAAGATGTTGACATACATTCGGTAACAGGTATACTGAAACTTTACCTGAGGGAACTACCTGAAGCTCTATTCACCGATCATATGTACCCTGAGCTACTGGAAGCCTTTAATCAGAGCAATGGGAATTTGAAACGACGAATTGAGCTCCTAAAGGGGTGCTTCTCGAAATTACCACAACAGAACAGTGAAACGATCAGCTGTATTTTGAAACATTTGATAGAGTAAGTATGAACATCCTATTTTAAAAAAAATTGTGCCCGTTATGAAAAAGGAATTCGTTGCTATCTAATAGGTATATACAGGGTGTTGCGGTTTCACAATCACTGAGATATACGGTCTTCAAATGTTCAGTTCTCGAGATACAGGGCGTTGAAGTTAAGAAATCTAAATAGTTTTTTTCGCAATATCTCGAGGAAAATTTAATATAAAGCATTCAAATTCGGTATATGGTTTCATCTTTCAATGGTTAATTTTTTGACCAGAAAGACATTCCGAGAATTTTATCCAGAGGTGCGCTACAGAGCGTTGTGATAAATTCTCCTCCCATATTTTCTACGCCACTGATGAAATCTCGATTATTTCCAATTTCTCGAATTGATTGTTCAATTATGTTGAAAAAATGCATCACTTTCAACAGAACTAAAATGAACAGTTATCGAGATATTTGACCCAAAACAGAAGTTTGGTAATTTCTCATCTTCTTCAGTAGTTTAAAATTACAAAAATGTTTGTTATCTCTCTATGCGTGGAATAACTATTTCTGTTCAGCTATACAATGATATCTGAATAGTACCTAGTCTACTCTAGAGTCGTCCCTGTATATACCTTAGACAAGAGTCCGGACACATCTATACTTCTGTCCTTTTCTGTTTTCAAAAAATGCATTGATGAATGAATAAAGGAATAAGACATATACAGGGTGTTTCATAATTTAATGTCAATATTCGAGGAGGCGATTCTTGGACCCATTCTAAGGAGGAACTTTCATATGAACGTATGACCTATCAACCAAACTTTTGAGATACAGGGTGGTAAAGTTCTCGAGAATTTATATAGCCTACTACAATGAAAAGTTATAATTCCAAAACACCAAATACAAATACGAAGTTCATAAATTATGGATTGTATTTCTGGAATTTGTTCTAAAAAATAAAATTTGTTTCTCTGTATTGTGATATATGGTCATATTAACGATATTATAATATAATCATGTAGTGAAAAGCTTTTTATTTTTTCAAGCGAAAACCGTGCATCAGATTGAAAAAATCGTTGTGATCAAATTCGCTCAAAAATGATTGGGAATTTCAGGAATAATTTCAATTTCGAGATTTATCAGTGGCGTACCATCAATGTCTGCCAAAATTGGTATGTGAAATTCCATACGAACGCCACTGGTGGCAACCAAAAATAATGTGGTACACTAACTGATGCACCTTGATATATAGTACATGTATGCCAAATTTCATCAGAATATCTGAAGTGGTATTACAGATATTAATAAAAAACTATTAATTTTTGAGAATTTTACCACCCTTTATCTCAAAAGTTATTACGTTTAGGTCATACGTTCATATGAAACTTTCTTCTTAGAATGAGCCCAAGAATAGCCTCCCCAAATATTGACATCCAATTATGAAACACCCTGTATATGGAGCTCTGTCTTTTCAATTCCCCTAGGATCAATGATTGTCAGAAACAATTTTGAGGGTTAGATTATTTGTCAAACCGTTCATAGCCGTAGGTTGAAGTGAGAAATAGGGCTATTTTGACTAGAATAACTATTAGATTTTCGAATAATGAACAATGGGGTGTTCAAATTTCGAATCGATAATTTTCATAAACAATTTCTGAGATGGCTATCGCAAATTTTCGTCATCAGATATTTCTTCACTTCATTAGATATAAGAAAGATAATTTAAAAGTGTTCTACGTGGTATCACATATAGCCAAGACAATATAGTTGTTTTCTGATGGGATATGAAAAAATAGAAGATATATAATTGTTTCAATATAATTTTAATTGTGTCGGTTTCCCACCTCTTCCTGCAGTATTCAGTAATTCCCAATACGATGACGACGGAACTTTTTTTTGAACGTTTCTATTTTATAAATTGACGGCACAGCAGACTCTTTCAATTTGAAATCCATCAGCTTGAAAGATTCTCTATCAAAATGGGCCTAAAATTCTTCTTTTTTGTACTGCTTTTTTTTAAGTAAATTTGAATATTTACCTCACATATTGCGGATTTCTTGAAATTAATTGTCCATTCTCGACGTTCCATTACATTCTTCCATGACATTATCTTTAAAGGATCATTCGGAAAATTGAATAACTTGAATCCCTTTTCTAATGAATAATCGCAATAATGTACGCAGCAGGACATCGAAATAACTTAAAATGCAAAATTCTGGCGGTCATAAAATTTCAGTGACAGTGACAGAAATTCGAAATAATTAAAAAAAGCGTGCGGGACGACTATGGTGTTTCGTCACATTGTCAGGTGGGCCAACCAAATGAAACAAAATATTAAAAACCCCAACGGCTGTCAGTTTTGTGTCCGGACTCTTGTCTAAGGTATATACAGGGACTCTAGTCTACTCAACACCAGAAAAATATTTTTGCAATTTTGCTACTACTGAAAATGACGAAATATTACTATGCAATCTTCTATTTTGGGTCGATTATCACGAAAACTGTTCATTTCAAGTAAGTTGAAGGATGAATTTTTTGAATAAAATTGAACAATGAATTCGTGAAATTGGAAATAATTGAAATTTAATCAGTGGCGTAGAAAATATGGGAGGAAAAGTTGCCACAACCCCCTGTAGGGCACCATTGGATAAAATGTCCGGAATGGCTTTCTGGTCAAAAAATGACTCATTCGAAGATGAAACCATATAACGGAGTTGAATGCATTATATTCAATTTTTCTTGAGATATTGCGAAACAACTATTTTTATTTCTTGACTTTAACGCCCTGTATCTCGAGAACTGAACACTTGAAGACGATATAACCCTATCTCAGTGATTATGAAATCACGAGGGCTATCACATGTCAAGCGTTGTCGGTCGAATTTCGCAACACCCTGTATATATAAATATGTAAGAAAAAGGCTGAGTCGGACAGACCAATTTTATTGACGCTCAAAAATCTAAATCTCAATAAGTGTACTGTTGATCCATTAACAAATTAGTGGATTCTAGTAGATATTGAAGTCCCCTGACAAATCAGGCACACTGCTGCAATTCGTCATAATTAACATAAATCTACGTTGTATTACAAAACATATATGAAAATTGTAACCTGTCACCTTGGTGGTATAACCTCGTAGGGTTTTATTGATTTTATGTCTTCCGAATATGTGTTATTCAGTTGAAACATATATTTCTCCAATATCGTTTTCATATGAAATAATCATTTTAAAATAAACTACTCAGCACTAATTTCGTCGCACACCAAAATGTGGCCCCAGTTAGAATGTGAATAACTTTTTTCAGTTCAGAACAATTTGAATTTGGATAACACCGTTCGATAGCCCAGTCCTTCAGCTATAATCTCGTACTTCATTGAAACATCAGGGTATTCACATAAAATCTCTACATGGTGTTTTCCGACACTGTGCAAAATTTCGGAATATTCAAAAGGCTCTCAATTGGTGAAAAAAATTTTTTTTCTCGACTTCGACAACAGAGGCATGAAGATGATCTCATTACCTCGGGATGTTTCGCGAATCAACTTCCTATCTCTCTTATTTACAGAGTGATCTCAATAAATCAACTTGGTTTTGCAGTCATAACTTTTTTTCACGTCAACCGATTTTAGAAATCTTAGGCTGTAACGAAGTTACTCAGATTTGATTACTCTCAGGGGAGACATCCTGTATACTTAGTATAGAGAATAACTCTGATGATATTAACTTGAGTAAATGACAAGCTATCGGCGCCGTTCTTTTTCGTAACTGAATCATTTATTTCTCCGGGAGTAATACTGTAATTTGTTCGTGAGCGCGAATTAGAATTTTGATAGGTTGGATTAATCAGTAATTAAATGATAGCGAAATAGAGATATCCGAAGCATAGCCGAGACTCACGGACGGCGGTCGGCTGCGCGATAGCGCAATTTTCGCCCCACTCTCGGGTGAGAGTGGGAACCCGAGGCGAGCTCCGTCGATAGGAACCAAGAAAAGTTAGTTGTTGCTGACCGCATATACCGAATTACACGCTGAGGAATAAAATAGAAACCGCTAGACCGATCCACTTGATACCGCAAGTGCTTGAAAATAAACTTACTTAGGTGAGTCCGCTTGATATGCAAACGATAACAGTGCTGCTTGTGTAGGTTGCAAGAACGGATACCGCCGTTCTTGAGTTTGCTTAGATCTCGTGAGTTTCAATTTAGTTGAACAGCACGGCTTTATTACTGGGCTACGCTCGTGATAAGACGGTGTTGCCGGATGAATTGAAATTACGAAGATTCCGGATATCCGATTCAGTTTATCAGCACGGTTCTATTTCTGGGCTACGCTCGTAATAGGACGGTGTTGCCGGATGCATTGGAAAACCGTAGATCTTGGAAACTTTTAATCAGCTGAACAGCACGGCTTTATTACTGGGCTACGCTCGTAATAGGACGGTGTTGCCGGATGCATTAAAGTGTGGTAGACCTTAGAGACTTTGGTCCAACTGCACAGCACGGCTTTATTACTGGGCTACGCTCGTAATAGGACGGTGTTGCCGGATGAATTGGAAAACCGGAGATCTTGGAATCTTTTATTCAACTGTACAGCACGGCTCTATTACTGGGTCACGCTCGTAGTAGGACGGTGTTGCCGGATGAATCAGAGTACGGGAGTTCTGGAAATCTTCGATCCAATTGTACAGCACGGCTCTATTACTGGGTCACGCTCGTGATAGGACGGTGTTGCCAAGTGCATCGAAAAAAAAGGAGATTCCCTGTCGGAGTCAACCGAAGCACTGCAACTGCACTTTTATTTTACTATTAACTGCTTGTGCTTGAAAATAAAAGTTTGATTTGAGCTGGAGAGCTAGAGGCTTTGTACTAGAGATGCTTTTCTAACCCTGCCTGTGTCGATAATTAGATTGCGTGCTTATTGCTTGATTGTATTTAATGAGTAGATTTTTCAGTGATAAATGCATTTTGCATTCCGCGTCAACAGAAGGTAATGATTTCTGGTTTCTTGGGGTAAATTTGTACATATA